TTAGAAAGTTTTTTAATGTCTATGCAATGTAACAAATTACAGCTTACCTTATGCGAAAAAAGGAAGCATTTGAGTGTGCAATAAATTAAAAAGAATATTTTTTAAAATGAAAATATCAGTGAGACAAAAAATAGGAACGAATGGAAGAATTCAAATTCTATTTATTATGCATTCATTCCAAACAATTTATAAGCAATATTTTTATACTATAGAGTTGTAAAATGTTATAAGTACTTTATAACCTTTTGGAATTTAAATGATTACAAGAATTAAAAAAAAAATTTTTTCTAGAATTTATTGTTTTTTAATATGCAAAGCATATAGAGAGATGTCCCTTGTACAAATGAACATTAGTAGTAAGATTCTCTGCTGCATTCTCTGCTTCAATTAATTACTATTACTAATTAAAAAAATAATATGATGCAAATGTTTTTTTATAAAAATAAAAATTGAAAAAAAGACTCGAAAAATTGAAATTAAAATCTTTTGGCAATCATTCAAAAGCAAAAAACAGAAAATGTTTTCAAGACAATCAGTATTACTTAAATCACAAGAATACGGTTTAGTTCTTTATTTTTTGCTAAGGTCGCATAGCAGGTCATAAACATTCTATTGAAATGCATAAACAATAATGTCTAACATGAATAACAATACCCAAAAGACTAATTGCTTGAGGTGAACCAGAAATATGATTATAGCTTAATGAAATGAAAAATTTTAGTATAAGATGGATGAACCGATATTGAAATGTGATAAGAGGACGTGTGGGACAGAAACGCTTCAATATGAATATGAAATACCTTTTTTTCTTATCCATTTCTGTTCAATATGAAATGCTTTTTTCTTATCCACTTCAAATGTATTTACTGAGGAATGTAACAAAAATATGGAAAGAGAAGCTAATAATATTAGCACTGCAAAAATTTTTTTTCAATGTTGGTAAATGTTATGATTAATTCCTTCTCATTTCTTATCTTTTCCTTCTTCGTACTGATATTATTAAAATTAACAAAATTTTTTTCTGACCTTTGAAAAAAATCCGTTTTGTCTAATTTTCATTTCAAATCTTCCGCTTCCTTTCTGATCTTTGAATCTTCCGTTTTTCCTACAGTTTTTTAATTTATTTTTTATTCTATCATCAAATGCAGGGAAATTCGAAAAAAAATGTGAAATTGTTCCTTTATTATCATGTAAATGAAAGTATTTGAATTAAAGCTTAAGGCATTTCAAGAAGGCAAAGAGAGAGAGGGAGGGAGGGAGAGAAGGGAGAGAGAGGAAAGAAGTGAAAAAAGCTGCGACCAAATTACGTTTCTGACCAATTTATTACATCTACTAAAATTAAAATCTATTTTCACGAATTCCCATGAATTACAGGAAGAGCATATTTAGAATGGATATAACATGACAGAAAAGGAAAGAAGAGACAAGATTAGAAAGGATGGACAGGAAAGGAAAGAGACAGGACTAGAAAGCAACAGGTCGATAAGTGTCGGTTACATAATCAAGAAAGTAAACAAAATGGAATAAAATTAATAAATATCATTTAATCGTTGAATTTTCTTGATTATACGAAATCGTTGAATTTTCTTGATTATACGAAATCGTTGAATTTTCTTGATTATACGAAATCGTTGAATTTTCTTGATTATACGAAATCATTGAATTTTCTTGATTATACGAAATCATTGAATTTTCTTGATTATACGGATGTTAAACAGTCAGATGGGAATGACGATGGAAGTGACAGTAGCGTTAGCTATAAAAGTTTGAATATTATATATTTGCTTAAGAGGAAGAAATTTACTTTGACTAATTAATACGTAAAAAATTGAGTTCCGAGTTTTTTTTTTTGCAAATTCTTTCATACGATATGAAGAGAATAAAATTAAAGAAAACTAATTTATAAACTTTTTTCGAGGAGCTAAATTTCTTGTTGATCTGAATCAACATATTTGTGTTTTATTGGTAACGTACGTGAAATAACTTGTTTGTCATAGAATCTATATTACTCATTTTAGCTCTATCTAATTTATGAAAATTATTTGAAAAAAGTCAATGTAATGTCGGATGTTACATTATAAATTGTCGGATGTTACATTATAAATTACAATCTTTTTTCTTTACTTTCTTTTTAAAATGAAATTAAAGTTAAAAAAATTATTGAATAACATTAGCTTACGCAAATAAGAATTCATAAAACTATTTCTGCATAATAGATTAAGGTTCTGGCCAAAGCATTGTTCATTCCTCCAAAATCTCTTGGCTCTCGAAAATACTGCTAACCTTTCTAAAACACTCTTGGCTTTTCTCTTTTTCAGAATCTAAAACATATATTAAATTGTATGATTTTTGATGAAACGAATGAAATGAAAATTTGATACTACAGTGAAATATATTGGATTTCTAGTAAATCTCATAAAAGCACAAGATGGAAGTAAGCAAGCTTCATCCATCATTTTTTAACCAATTCCACTAAAACACATATGGTTGAGTTTACGGCATGCTGCGGTAGATTAGTGCGCTTGCGCATTTGTCCTCTTCATTTGAGAGATGATAGTAATAAATCTTCTATAGCATTTTAATATTTTTTTATTTTAGAAATTTTACTGAGTGATAATAGCAAGAAATGTAAACATCTAAAGTGGATCTTTATGCAGAACTTGAGATCAACAGTTGTAAAGTGATTGGAAGGAACATGGCGTATAAAGTTGTTGAGAGTAATATTTAACATGTAAATATGCATTTGACTAAAAACGAAATCAAACAATTTCCTTTCAACGATCTGCTATGCACATAAAACTTTTACAACTGGCCAACTGGAATTTAAATTTTAATTGTGATCAGAAATTGAATCTTTCAAAGCAATGTTATTAAGCTAATTCGTCCAATCAAGCTCATTTGCTGATGAAATGGAAAGATATTCAGCCAGTTTTTGAGAAAAATTGTTTTACCACAAATTGGACTTTTAAAATTTTTATGATATTGAAAATTTTGTTTTATTTTAAAGCTTACATTTCAAAGTGCTCAAAGAAAATTACTGATCGCTGCGGCGCTCTATGCATTAATTTCATCTTATCTGTGCCTCCCATGAATTTCATCGTAATTTAGACGAAGAACAGATGTTCGACAGAATTCGTCTTGACGAAAATAAATGACGTATATAATTTATGAGCTAAAGCAGAGCTTGAGCTAAAGCATAAAACAGAATCATCTGTCTCTTTGTCTTTACTTATTCTGCGAATTTCAAATTTTTTTTAGAAAAGAAATTTCTTGAAATTGAAGATATGCATTTTGGATTTAGAGGAATCTCAATTGCAAGTAAAAATTATTAGAATTTTTTTTCTTTTATACAACAAGGAAAGTAAGGATATGTAGTAAATTATTTCGTAAATTTTAGCTTATAATATCATTTTTCCTTTTACTGCTACTTTAAAACCTGAATTTTTTAAAGTGATCTGATCAGAACAAAAGGATTGTTGCAGTTAATAATGTACGAACATCATAATTATTCACTATTTTCTCATCGAACTTTTTCTAGTCTAATCTGATTTGTAATAAATAAGATGGAAAGAAAGGATCATTTCAGATGTGAAATAAAATCAGTGGGAGTTCAAAACCTTTCATCGAGAAATAGTAAAAAAGCGGCGCTAAAATCCTCTCATTATTTCTTATGAGTCATACAATATCATTACAGCAAATTGAATTTATGAAAGTATTACTTATTGTGTCGTAAAATTTTATGGCTTAAACGGATTGTGCACAAAATGATAGTTACGATAATTATTCAGATGTAAACATAAATGCACACACATATACATACGCACACATGCAAAGTATTACTTATTGTGCACACATACACACATACATGTACGATAGTTTATATGATGAACTCGAAACAAACAATACAGTTAAAACTAGCATTCCTTTTATTTTTTTTAGCAATAATCGAAGTGTTCGTATTTTCGTGTTTAAATAATCAATCAATTCAACCGATCAACTAATCAGTCAATCAATCAAGCATTGAAACACAGCATGTACACTTACCACATTTCGAGAGCAAGGAGTTGAACTAAATTGATATTTACAAAAATACGGCAAAATATATTAAAGAACGTAATTTCAGATATAAATGATAAAAGAGTAAAAAGACAAGAAAGAAAAGATCCGTGAAATGATGATATTTCGCAGTGGATCGATTGCAGTGATCTCGAGATTTCCATCAAATAGTTGCAATTTTCCACTCATTCGGAAGTAAAGAGGCTGGACAAATCTCAATCTGAGGAAGCAGCTGCTTTCCCTTGCCAGCTTTTTTTTTAAATAGAAAGAAGAAATTTATAAAATATTTCTTAACCAAAATGACAAACTTTCTATTTTTGATAAATATAATGCTGTTCAGTTATGCATTAAGTTTTAAACAAGCAATTTTCCTTAAAAATATAATTGCATTATCAACAAAAGGAACACAGAGAAGATTTGCTATATGTGATTAAGTATATTATTCGTTATGTAAATTAATGGTAATCATGATTATGATATCGTAAACAAGATCGTTTTCTTTAAAATAATAATCCTAATTCATTAACTCAATAGTCATAACTTTTTTGTCATATCTTTGCACATTTTGAATTTTCCTGATTTTTTTTTTAAATCTGAGCTTTTATGAAGATTAAAATAAATAAGTTATATGCAGCATCTAGCAATTAGCATAATTATTAAATATCTATTATCTACTTTTTCCAAATTTTCATGATTACTTTAACTAAATTTCAATCTTTACAGAATCTAAAGCAGATCTGTGATGTGATATATTATCTGTAAGTTCAAAAGCCTTTATTTTTTATTTATACTTTTACTCTGATCATTATCTTTTAAATGTACAACATTATAAAGTGACAAAATTAATTTTTTTTCAGATCTATGAAACAATTTTATGTCACAGATATTTACAGACATAATATACACCGATGTGATGAATTGCTATTTCTTGGAATCAATTACAGTTACAATAATGTTACAATAAATAATATGTTATCAGATAAACGGTCAGTTAAAGCTGCAATTGCAGAGCAAATATAAGGTACTACTTTTGATTTCGTACACTTCTTCTTAGCGATATTATTAACGATCACGTACGTGTCTAGTACTGTGTACAAAACAAGAGCCACAATACTATCAGGATCAATTGGTAGCTCACCAACCTTTACTTTTTTGCTTATTGTAAGCATCCATAATTTACTGCATATACTTTGTACTCTTCGCGTAATTATCGTACATTTGTGGACGATATTGTGAGTAATATTTGGTAGGCCTAAAATATTATAGATAGGCCTGGAATATTGAATATACTCCTTGTAGGCCTTCACTCCTATTGGATTATAAATTCCCAAGAGACTCATATAACATTAAGGAGAAACGATAGAAGCTTCAATGATGTTAAAGAACGCATACATTTTTTTGAATTTTTTTATCTTGCCAAATATTTTATAGTCTCGAAGAGGGATAGGGACTAACAATTATATCAGCAAGTTCACACAAGCAATCACATCAGCATATAAGTAATCATACCAATCATAGCATATCAGCAATCATATCAACAAATTATATCAGCAATTATATATGTTTACGTTATTTACCTATAAGTTGTAAAATTGTTTTTCTTCACTAAATTAGTGGCAATCATATTAAATTATAGAAATTTCCTAAACAGCAGACACTTTCTAAATACCAACAATGATAAAAGTAGACAAAAGCGCTCTTTTGGATAAGATCTTCCCTTCCATTTCAACTTTAATATAATAATCAGTAACGAAACATGTAAGAAGCTTCTATAATAAGTACGAGATAAATTATAGTTTTAAAAAGAAGAATAAAATGAAGTATGTCGAACAATTTCTAAGATAGTGTGAACATTTCCTTTAATTAATCAGGTTAAATAATCACTATGCAGCAATTTCCTTATTTCACAAAATTCAAAATTAAAAAAAAAAGATTATTCTCGCAGTCTTTTCGGCGACATTACAGTTTCACTAAAAGAAAATTACTATTTTTGAATGTTTATTACCTTGAACATCAAGACAGTTGCTGTTTTTCTTCCTCGAGTCGATGAAAATATCAAAGAATCCGATCGTATCACGAATCTGAAATTCAAATATAATTCAAACTTTTTAAAATTGCAACAAAACTTTTGCAAATGCTAAAATGGGATTTAAAAAAAAAAAAGATGGATGTTCTAAATTCGCACAGTTTGATAATAATCTTTTTTGAATAGTATCTCGCAAATTATGATATAAAAAAAGGGTTTTTGGTTATTTAACAATTCTGTGATGTCATATACTTGAGCCTCAGTCTGTGAAGATGGCTTCATTGGAAACTTTGTTACAATTAAAAGATTGCACACTGCTCTTATAGTTTTTTTAATAATGAACAAATTTCATCTATAAATGATTTCAAAAAGAAAACACTTGCGTCTTACTGTTACAGAATAAGTTTTGAAAAAATTTCTAATCAGAAATCTAATTTTTCAGAGGAATTTTTTTATTCGGGGAATTTTCAGATAATAGAATTAATAACTAAAATACACGGTATACATTTGAACAATATGTTAAGTTGGGATGCTTAAGGGAAGAGAGCAAAGAATAATGTGGCGGACAATTTTAAAAGTTCAAAAGAAGGTTGATGTTTTGATGTACTAGCAAATAGCACATGTACATTTTATGTATTTCAAAGGTTTAATCATCCAGAAGAATCAATTAGATATTGTTAAATCACTGAAGTGTAAAATTTTTTCATATAGTTAAGCACAATGAATGCACAATATTTAAATGTTATAAAGAGTAAAATAAGATTCTGTGGATTAATTTAATAGAATCTGATCTATTGCTAATGTTGATAGACCAAAGAATTTTAAATTCACTCATATGATCAGTTTTGCTATGTGAAATAAAACATATAAAAGTAAAAAGATGTTGGTTAGTAAGAAAAAAAGGTATTATCAAATTTTCATTTAAAGGACAAATTGAAGATTTACTAACCTTTCCATCACTTTCTCACTAATTCATGCTTTTCTTTTTTTGTGGAATCCTTAATCGTACTGAAAGTGCGAATAGGATGAATGAAAAGATGAAGAAATGTAACAAAAGTTGTTTCAATTGGTGCTATTTTTTTAGCATGCAATGAATGAAATTCTAATGTAAAGGTGGTGGAAAAGAATTCCTTCTCTACCATTTCTAACACATACATACGCACACAAAAGTGAATTGTTGATTACCTTGATATATCGAGACAAGTAATTGCATGCTTCTAATACTGTCACAGCTTGATCATCGTTTAGATCAGCACACTTAAAAATGCTAAGATTTCTTGCATATGCAATAAGTGCGTCCTTGGCATCTTCGACATTTGAATTCGAGTTGCAGATGATTTAGAAATATATTCTTTAAATTCATAATTTTTTGTTCACTCCTACAAAAAAAGCTGTATTAAACAAGTATTACAAGTTGCAGTGTTTGTCAATTGATTTACTGAAAAATTTCTTTTTTGAGGATATTTTGAGTGTCTCTCGAAATTTCTGCATATTTACCTCATCATAATGTGTTTCAGTCCCCGTTTCAGTAATTAGTAGTATTTGTAAAATATTTATCGTTATCAGCCATTACCATTGTTGCCTGTGTCGTTATCATCGGAAGTTAACAGATTACCGGCAACATCGCTAATTTGGCATTCAAATTCTAAAAATTTTAAATTATTCCAATTAAATTCCAAAGTATTTCAAAGAAAAAAATCTTCTGTTTCATTTCTGATAAGCCATTGCATTTATATTCAATTAATTCATTATTCGAATTAACTTCCCAAATATTTATTGAACATTACTAACGTGTGACATGGACCATCACATATATTAGTAATAAGCTTCCTGAAGTATTATTTTGCAATATGAATTACCACCCATTATCCTGGAGAAAAATTTGTATATCCAAATGAGAATTTCTTCGTAAGATCAAATAAATTGCTTCCTTTCAAGTGGCCAGTTGGAAAACCTAAGTTATTGATAATTTATCTAGTAGAGTGACTTAACTGGTGAAAAAAATTCTTTGAAAACCATTCTCTTTCTTAAAACACAAATGTGACACAATTATACCGCCAACAATGATTTCTGAATCAAATTCAAAATTAATGCTTCACAAAGATTTATTGTGTATGCAAATAGGTAGTTTGTATCGGTTGAATCAGCTTACAATCACGTCTGGTTATTAATTTAAAAACTGCAGTTGATACATAGGGAAGTATTATAAATAACATTAAAGTGTACAACCTGAAATTTTCAACCGATATCGAAATAAAAATCCTATTATCATGTATTAACAGGAATAACTCGACTATTCCACACTAGGAATGGTTATAATTTTTCAATTTGTGACCATTTCCAGCAATTACTGGACTGATCTGTCCATATCACACTAAAGCAGAAAGCTAACACTAGCTGAGATAGCGAGTATAAGTGATAAACATCCCCACTATTAAAAGACTTATATTTAATAGCGGACTTTAACCAAAAAAAAAACAAAAAAACAAACTGTTCCTCATAAATGTTATTAAAATAAACTACTTCGAATTATATTTCTTCCCAAACAAATTTTGGCTGCTTCATATGTTAAGTTTAATAAAAAAAATTCAAAAAAATGTTTTTTGAAACGCTGTTTACTTTAATTATAGACACTTTAATTATTATTTTTTTCTGAAAATTCTCTCTCTTTCTATTTCTCCAATTATTCTAAAGAATAAAATTGAAATAAGTCACTAAAGTTTTTTTTAATAAGTCTGATTGATCACGAATCACACATGTTATAACATTAATAAACTGATAATGTTTGCATCAGAATTCAAATTACTCTTTTTTTTTTCAAACACATCTCAAATCATATGATTCTTGATCAAATCTTAACACTTCTGCTTGCTTTGCTATATTAATTAATTAAATATAATTAGCTGACAATAAGCTTTGCGACGATTTTTATGATACATAGACAAATATATCGATGCAAAAGAAAACTGCTAATCAGACTAGAAATAGTAAATAATTCATGAGATAATTATGTCATCCACATACTTAATCGTCTTATGTAAGCAATTATTATATCAGCTGATTACATAAATCAAACTGATAAATGTTCCTTATTAATTTTAAAAGTTAGATAGACTGAAATACTAAGAATAACACAATCTCTTATCACCCATTCATTCATCCCGGAATGCCGCACAACTGATAACGCTTCAAACTTCAAACGATGAATAGAAATTCAGTAACTGAAATAATTCTTGCCGCAAAACTTTAGAAGAAAATTTTATCATTTTTATATTAAGGTCAATATGTATTTAATTGTGAACCCAAATCCACAATTTTCTGCTATGGCCAGAGAAATAGAATCAATGGTTATATCAGATATCAAAGTTTTCACTAAATAACAGCTAACATTTAAACAACTTCATACCATTTACGATAGTTAATATCACTATTATTAGTTAAATATGTTTTAAAAGTATAAAGTTAATACTGACAATTCCTTTTTCGTAAGCAAGATAAAACTCAGACCACAAAGAAGTTATAAAATTAATATATCTTCCTTTTACTCAATGTCTTCAAAGTTTTCTTTTTCACTCGTTCTAGACATTTAATTTCCGATCCAATTCGTCGAATATCAAGGAATATTAGGTATGTTTGAGTAATTATTATGATAGTAGATTATCAACAATGTAAGACTTACTAGAGGATTAACGTAATAATTCGAAAAATAGAAATAAAAGACAAAGTTAGTAATGCAAGAGAATAATAAAAACAATAACAATAGTAATAATATATCATTAATCATATCACAACGCACCGAGATAACTATCAATTTTGAAAATCTTTATCTTCTTGCTTTACATGAAAGATTTTTCAGAAAAGGAAAGGTGAGAGAGAGAGAGAGAGGAGAAGAAATACACAGAAGAATATCTTTCATCAGCTGAGAACTGAAATAATAATAAGTAAAAAGTGAAGCAGCCGGAAAATATTTATAAGCCGAAAGTGTTAACTGATATGCATGCACATAATATGTTTTGAAGTTTTCAAGAAAAAAAATCACTGATTGTAAATGAAGGGCGAATATTGGGACATTTCTGCAAAATTCGTATATTTTAATGTCATTGAACTGATGAAATCAAGTGTTAAATGATATTAAATGTGTGGTGATAAGTTAAATATTATTTTATTTTTTATTTTAATATGAGGTTCAAGTTGAACTAAATGGATAGCACATATTTGTTGATAAGAAAGATATGATTGACAACAGTTGATAAGAAAGATATGATTGACAACAATAATTTTAATCATAAATAATTGAATGAAAGAATAAACTACGATTTCATGGTTTTGCATAGCTATTTAATTTAGTGCATATATGATTGGTGAATTGTGACCATTTTATTTTTTTCTTTTTTGAAACTGTAATCTTTTGAAGTAAATTTCAGTTCGTGATCTGACTTAGAACAGGTAAAACAATAATGTTAGATATGGGTAGCGATTTGTTGCAGATCGAACTGAGTCTTAACAACCGATTGATATATTTAAGATAATTATGCATTTTCGTTGGATCGATTCTCTGGAATTGGTTTTGAAATAATATAGAAAAAGATCTTGAGAAGAAAAAGAGGAAGGAAAAAAAGAAAAGTATGAAAAGATCACGCTTTTTCTGCGGTAAAAAGGTTAGCAGTAGCGTTTTATGTTTTTGCTGGGACGCGTATTTGTGAAGTAGAATTCTTTTGCATAACGTGTTATCCCACTTTGCTTCATTTAGCGCTACTTTAATTTAACTCAATTTTCAATTTCTTCCAGGAAAAACAGGTGATAGCAACAGATGTGTGAGTATAATGGATAAACCTTGAGTACAACCCGAAAAACATTGACTGACGAAGGAGAGATGACAAAACTGAGGCAGATTTGCGTGCCTTCTTAAAGGAGATGACCTCTACATTTGTTACAAAGGAGATAATTGATGACAGACACCTAGAAAAGTGAAACAGTCTTTTTTTTAAACTGAAAAATAGTCCTTGCTAGCATTTTGGAAAGAAGGGTTTAACGATGGAAAAGCAAAGTGTTTTTAACAGCTGTTTCATCAGTTAATTATAAATTTCATGAAATTCTATCCTCAAAATAACTGATTTGGTGCTAGATGAGGCACACTAGACATTCTAACTACTCCATAGCTTCAAGATCAACCAATAAGCCTTTTGACCTTAACACTATACTGGTTATTATTATGTAATTCATTCAGAATTAAATTCCATTTCTTATTTTTCAAATTCAATATTGCTTATTGCGTAAATTTTCCTTGCATAATTTCTTCCTTAATGTTTTATATTTATGGCATTTACACTTCATTTTTAATCATACAATCACCATCTAACATATCATCTTGGCAAATAGCTTAGTGATGAGATATTAAGGTCAAACAATTAAACCTAGACTTACCTCAGAAATATTCTCGAAAAGAAGCGAATTTTGCAGCTATTTCATCCATCCTATTCCATCCAAAAATCCTTCTACCAACATATTCTGTCGTTTTCCGGTTGCCCGTTTGTGACTGCAAATAAGTCCGACTAATAAGAATTACTTGGAGACACTTGAAATGATTGGCGCTAATTAGACATTTCAATGAATTTTCTGATAAAATTTATGAACGTAAGAACGCTGTTCTTCCTAGACATCAACATTCGAAATAGATTGAAGACAAGATCTGAACAGCTATCAGATTTGTTCGTCAGATTATTTTTGGTTAGCTATGATTCCTGATATGTTGGCAATGTTACCATAAATTAGATTACACATGATACTAACTTTTTGCAGGAAGATATTTTACCTTTCAGAAATCCCTGCAAACCATGGAAAACTTTCTAAAGCATTTAGACATTAGTGTTGGAGAAGAACAATTCAAGTTGTTAAGAACTAGTGCTGCAGCAATATGCAACTGTCACTGATTGAGTTTGCGACACTTATTATAATTATTATTATAGAATAAGGTTACAGCAGTGCATCTAAGGCATATAACAAACTAGAAAGCAAAAATTGTTTAGTTTTAGTAAAGATGGAGCTGAACAAATTCTTTAAAATATTTTTATTTCAGACATCAATTCTTCAAATATCTCACATCCACAATTCAACACTCTTCTTTCCTGTTATCTTAGAAATACTCCACAAATCTTCTCATTCTAATATCTATTGACATACCTTTGCTAATATCTTATAAAAATTGAGCGTTCATGTAATTTAGAATGTAATTTTGAAGACAGATCATTCATTGACAACTCAAAGCTTTCCGTGACCTCTCGCAACGACAATAGTTCATGCGGCAGTAATATGACCCAGTGTTCGTCAGATTATTTCTGGTTTATTATACAAAATATGCGTGATAAAATGAGCTCGACAAGATGAGCACAGCCAACACAGTACACGGACATAACTACGCGTACGTCTCGCATTCAACGCAGTCGTGATGACTCTTCCGAACGCTCCTCAGAGCAACTTGAACATCAACCCGGTGAAAGCCATCAGTGTTATTGAACGAAACAGGCCTTTTTTGTTATCACTTATCAGTACTGGCTGTGACTTGACTCTTCTTTCCTTATCTCTCAACATATCATATTCCTTCTAGCCATAGATACCACAAGAGAAACAGTACTGTTTAACAGACCCCAATAATTCCCTACCTTTTTTCGCTTTGCGAGATATCTTTCCTCTTTTGGTCTTCGATGACAGTATTTGATAAGATTTTTGCTAATCTTTTGACTACCAGTTCATATGAATGTTACATGAAGCATACGTTGTTTATACCTTACCGTTTACCTTTCTCGATTTTTCCATACTCGAAATGACCTTAGTATTTTAAAATTTCAGAAAGCCTTCCATGTCTTTTTTCCAGTTTCTAATTAGATGATGAATTACTGAGGTAGGTACTGCTGATCCATACGACCTTAACCAAGTCGTTGGTCTTTCTTGTTCCCATGAAAACTTTACCACGAGATTTCTTGTCCCAAGAGTTTAACGAATTTTAAAAACTTGTAGACATAAAAGATGTCATCTTTTCTCGCTGTACCACTGAAACATACGAACGAGGTGGACTTGGTAAAACCTCTAATGAATTATGTCGAGAATATTTATTTGGCATCAAGTGAATTAAGCTCAGAAATCAGAGAAGCGATACAAGAACTGAACAAGATGCGAAACAAAGCTTGCAACCAACCTTTGGATAAACATCAAAATGCTCTGGATGTCCTGACTAGGTATGTATCGAGCTTCGTCATCAGTGTTCTTTCTGCGTGATTTCGGATAACTCAAAATTTGCAACTCGAATATTTATAGATATTACGATCAGTTGGTGGCCATCGAAAACAAAATACCAATCACTGCCACTCAAAATCCTATCAGCTTTAAGTGGAAGGATGCCTTTGATAAAGGTTCACTCTTTTTCGGCCGGGCTTCACTGAGTATGTTTATGTAAATTTTATATTTTCTTATTACACCTTCAAATCGCTGGGATAAATAATATTAAGATGATTTCTATTTTTTTAGTTGGACACGATAATACATTTATTAAAATTAACTTTTTATGTTTAAAGCAATAAAGCAGCTTTAATTCAACTAATTTGATATGAATTATATAGTTCGATTTTCAGCCTTAAGTGATGGCGCATTTGAAAGAGTTGCTGTTTTATTCAATTGTGGCGCTCTGATGTCTTCAATTGCTGCTTCTCAATCAATGCGTACCGACGAAGAACTCAAAATAGCAGCAAAATTTTTTCAACAATCAGCTGGTGTCTTTGCACATCTGAAGGATACGATCCTAGGGATTGTACAACAAGTTCGACGGTTTTGCAATTTTTGAAGTTGAATCCATCAGGATTGTTATTTTTAGTGTATTATTTCTTTTGGTGGTCAATCCATCTTTGATCTTATTAACTTGAAAGGTGCACATATGTTTCGTTTATTATTTAGCTATGCGATATAAATCTATACATTGACTAAAATCTTGGTCTGCGTTGACTTTTATGTTCTTATTAGCACTATTTTTTTATTGTCATATATTTAAGTCATTTGAAGCGTTAAAAGAGCATCAATAATAACTTTATCTGACGAGTGGAGATCAGTTGCATACAATGCTTTAGTGAGCTAATTCAGTTGATATTGTCATTTTCGAAATACCTGCAAAGAAGACTTTCATGAACTGCTAATATTACAATTCCTTTTTAGGAACCAACTCCGGATCTTATGCCTGACACATTGTCAGTACTTTCAGCAGTTATGCTAGCTCAAGCGCAGGAAGCTATCTATATTAAAGCTGAAAAAGGTTCGTTCCGCGCATGCAAAATGAATGAGTAAATGGAAATGATCGAGTAGAAGTGATTATTAGTATTTCTCATTTATTTATAATGCAGTTCTTTTTCTTAAGGAATCGAATACTTTAGATAAAATGAAACCACTTGCATTGATGAAATTAGCAGCACAGTGCGCGGAATATTATCAGGAAGCCCAAAAGCAACTGCAAAGAGATGCCGTGAGAGGTTTATTTGACAAGGTTGTTATTGCTTTATATCTTATGTGCTTCACCCTGATTGAATTTGTTCAACATTATATAATAATTTGGCAGTGTTGCTCGTGCATAATTTTTTTTTTTTGAGGGGTTAGATTTTTCCACTTATAATGTGCTATTATTTTTTTAAAATAATTGTATTCATCGATACCTGTGTTAAAGCTTTTATACTTTCTTATATGCTTCTATTTTTACATATCGACATCACAGGACTGGACAAATACCGTAAAAGGCAAAGCTTTGGGACTTTCAGCGCTCGCTCAATATCATAAAGCAGTGGACAATGCAGATTCGAAGAACATAGGTCTGTTATTAAGATATTTGCATTTAGGAAAAATATATATTTCTTTACTGAAACGGTATTTCGCGACATTATTTCGGAAATTTGTTCGTATCCTAAGATGCTTAAACTCAATGAATAATGCAGCTGTTATTATTAACATCTTTGTTTTTCTACGTGGAATATACGCATAATGCCTTCTAACAATTTGTTCCTTCTTGGTGATTTTCTGTAAATCCGTCTGGTACCGTATTTTTGATTTGGATCGTAGAAAGAGTTTGTACTTTTAAAAAGATTTTGAAATTCCAGGTGAACAACTAAGTCGATTAATCGAATCACAATCTCTCATGCAGCAGGCAATTAGTTACATGCCTCACGAAACATTTAATATTCAGTATGCTGCTATTGAAAAAGCATATACATCAGCTAAAAAGGATAATGACTTCATTGTAATTTTTCAATAATTTCTTCACTTTTTAAAGTTCCAAATTTCTTTGAACGGTCATTGATGGGTTTCTTTTTCTTTTTCTTTTTTTTTTCTTTGCGTTTTTTATCTGAGAAATTTAGTGCTTCAGTGATTGTGAGACAGGGAATGGTTTAAGTAAGGGGTAAACAAATATTTCAAGTCAAATAAGATGTTAGTAATTTTATTAGCTGCATATATCTTTGCATTAATTCGAATGTCAGCCGAAAAAAAAAAAAAAAAAAACATAGCAGAAAGAAACTTTCAATTCTCCACCTAGCTGTTTTATTTCTAGTATCACGAAAGAATCGCAGATTTCCGAAGTTTGCCACATTTACCTAAAGCTGCGGTTGCTAAAATTGTGCCGATTACTTTCCCAATAACACCGAGATTTAAAGGTATGGCCATACTCGTATTTATACGAGCCATATCACTTATTTATCTTTTCATTTTATTTTGCAATTTCTGTTTTACGAGAGGAAATATGAATGATTTTGATACAGTAAATTATTGGTTAAAATGTTACCAATATAAAATAAGTACTCAAATGTAGAATTTTTAAAACCACCATAGTTCTTTTCACTTTTTTTCATCTGTTACTTATTCCATATTAATTCTGGGAATCTTCTTATTGCAGATATGTTCTCAAGCCTTGTACCTGTTCAAGTACATCAAGCTACGGCTTCGTTTGATGCTCGAAAATCGGAAGTTATCAATGTAGAAACTGGACGTTTACGTGAACATACTCAAATAATGAATGGGTAAATTAATTTTGAAGTTTTTACTTCAGTTTCAGCCCTTAGAAATGTAGAGGGAATGAAGGGAGAAATCTAAGAGCCGTATATATTTTTATGAATGATTGGTAGTAACTATTTAGGGCTCAGCATTTCTTCGATCTTTAACTGGTTATGTATTATTATTTGATTCATTATAGAATATTAGCATCTCTAAATTTGCCTGCTGCCTTGGATGACGTGACAAATCAAGAAATATTACCAGAATCTATCCGACAAAAATCTTCTAAAGTTAAGTCTCAAGGTGGAATTGATGCCCTAACAAGTCTTATTGCTGATCTACCAAATATTCACAAAAGAAATGAGGAAATCTTGGATGAAGTGAGTTTTTCAAATCCATATAATGTCAATTTTCATATGCTCCATTTGTTTAGCGCTAAATTTCAAATCTTTTTCTGAAGCTGTAGCATAGTGTATCTTATCCTTTATTCACTTATGTTTTTAAAATTGTTTTTCTTTTTTTGTTTGTTGAGAAAAATGAGTTTTTTTAGACTTTGAGACTATTAAATGAAGAAAAGGGAAATGATGATCGTTTGCGTTCACAATTCAAAGATAAGTGGACACGTATGACTTCTGACCAACTTACGGCTCCACTTCACCAAGAATGTGGTAAATATCGCGGCATTCTTCATGCAGCTTCAAATGCGGACGAAACGGTCAAGCAGAAACTGGAAGAAAATGGAGAAGGAATCAAGTTGCTCAGTAGAACCGAACCTGAATTAAAATAAGTCGTCCTGTGTTTTACATTTTTTGAAACTAAAAGGAATATTATAATGAACAGAAGGCTTGATCTACTGTTAGATTTATAGATATAAATTTGATTAAAAATAACTGAAAATTATAGGAATATATATTAGCACTATGATTTAGTAACAATATAAGTTACTTTGAAGTATGCAATAGGTTTTACAGCAGCAATACCGGGTCTCGATTCTTCAAGTGCTAACAGGAATTCAGAAGCTGTGATAAAACTCAGAAATTTAATGGATGTTATACAAGAAATCAAGGTAGAGTACGAAATTCAGTGTTTTTTAATCCTTATTGTAATGATGGATTATCAAAATGGAATATTCTGCTCCATAACTTTCATCATAGCAAATTCGTGCAATCTTGATTTGCTTTGGTAGCTCATATTTGTTTGTTTTTCTATTTCTGTAGCCCCTATATAATGATATTAAGAGAATTAGAAATTTCTAAATTCTTACAAATTCTTACAATTAACTTTAGATTGAACGAGAGAAGTTAGAAAAAGAATTCACGAATGTTCATTGTGATATGAGCTCTATTTTTCTGAAAGCACTAGCTGACAACCAAGTTATCAATGAAGAAGAAATTTCTACTACCAAAATTAGAGAAATATATGGCCCGTTAAAGGCTAAAGTAAACGAAACTATTAAGAAACAGGAGGAATGTTTGGCGCAAGTGGAGGTAGGTAATCACCGGTATTATTAAACTCTTAGGCATTATTTCTGATAGTTTTTGTTAGGACCGATTTTTACATATCCTAATTATATTTATTTTATTTCACTTATTCTCGTTATTTAAATTAGTCTTTCTTTTTTTTTCTTTTTTTTTTTTCAAGTCTTCTTTTTAGATATGGAATAAAAAATTCTGTTCAGAAAAGGCATCCAGCCAAGGTGCTGTTGAGCGTGAACGGATTTTGAAAATATTGGCCAATGGACATGATAAATTTGTGGAGATTAAGTCGAATTTGGATGAAGGAACAAAGGTAAGATGTAATCAACATTTGAGGCTTCTTGCCATACACTGCCATTACTAGTAAGTAATGGAATTACTTAATATTGCTTTTCTTTGTTTTGAAAAAATATATTTGCTTTCAGTTTTATAATGATTTGACTCCTCTACTATTGCGATTACAACAAAAAGTGTCTGATTTCTGTTTCGCGCGGCAAACCGAAAAAGAAGATCTGATGAAGCAGTTACAACAAAATATTGTTTCTGGTTAGAATGAATGAAATATGAATGAGAAGAAATGTTATAATAAGGACTGTAAAGAAATGCACTTAAGTAATAAAGGAATTTTGCAGATAGTAAATGATTTTGCTTAATTCATATATGTAGATGTTAGTTTATATATGGAGTTTATATATGTAGATGATAAGGATTTTTATTCAGTTGCCACTTATTTCTTCAAATGATAATTCAGGTTCTTCAAATGGTAGTGCACCTCCTCGACCTCCACCACCAAAAGCTCCATCAACTGCATTATCAAATAATCCATTCGATGTAGAAGCGCCAATTCCACCTCCACGTAATGTTAATAGCCTTCAAGGTACCAGTTCAACTTTATTTTCTTTCTTTAAATTATTGGCTCATCTTCATGCTTTAAAATTTTATACATAATGATGGGTTCTGTATTTTAAATCTCGAAAGTAATGCATGGGTGTCCGATGATCATATTGACTTATTTGTATAATTTTAATATTTTGTATATTTCCCTCTCTGTTTCACTACTAGTTATTAGTGGTTCATAACGCTTTGATCTTAACTTTTTATTTTGATTTCGTTTTGATTTCGCAAAAATAATAAAATTGACTGTAACTACTAAAGAATGATACAATTTTAGGCCTAAATTTATCAGTTTCAGTTACGTAAGGATGGGAAATATTTTCTATTCATAAGGACAGGAAGGCTTTCTTATGAGGGTAACACTGGTGAAATAGAATTCATTCAGTTTAGTTCTCTTAAGTTTGTTATTTTCATATGAATGAAGCAATTCTTAAAAATCCTACCTGCTTAAATTATTTTCATTATACATATATATATATATAGAATTTTAGCAAGTTTTAGTAAATGTTGTGTTATGTGGAAAGGATAAATTTCGGGTTATATAGAGAAGTAAGTGATTTAAAATACAGAACCCAAGATTATGCATAAAATTATTTATGACTTTTGCATGTATATGTTTTACAGCAACACAAACACCACCTATATCATCTCAGAATGCGAACTATCAACCGCAGTTATGCAATCCTCAGCAACAGCAACCGTTTACACCTTATGGTAATGAAATAAATTACGATTATAATATAAGAAACTTTTTCATTTTCTTCAATTCCGCATATCTTACAGAATGTGATTATAGGAATCGACTTTAACAATTTTGTGATGGTCATATTCATTTTTAACATTGTCTACAAGCATTGACTAATTTGTTGTAACAATATTGATTTTTCAAGCTGAAAAAAGCTTGAATTATTTTAACATAATTTTAGGTCAGGCACCATGTGGATATCCGTCTCAGCAAGCGCCTTATCTTTTGCAGCCCCAATTTAATCAAAATTACACAACACCATATCCAGTTGCATATCCTGGGACATATCCTGGGGCCTTCAATCCTCCTGTGCATGGTAATTCCGCATTTTAAATTATTCCTTGAAAAACATCCTGAAAACGAATCTTTTTGTCTACTGAGTATTCTGCTTGGAGAGGGAAGTTTCGATCATAAAATACTAAATTGAGTACCTTAATTTTAATTTTTGTCATACATTTGAGATCTTGTGTTTTTCCTGTTCAAAAGACTTCTTTTGAATAATGACTCCTTATATATACATATATATATTCAGCAGCAACAAATTCCTGTTAACTAAAGAAGTCTTTCCCAGTGGTTAAGATTTCCACGTATAATAAAACATGGAAGTCAGTATTTCTTCCAGTATGTTTTGCAGCATATGGTCAGTTTTCTCCATCAACAATGTCTCCACAGTGGGGTAATCTGCCATCATCAACTCCACAGTGAATCAGTTCACGTTCTGAATAAACTGTTTTTTTTTTTTTTTTGAAAGCTTGTATCATAGCTTTAATATCACTGCTTAGTGGTCATCACGAAGACTGTTTGGTTACTGTGACGCTTTTCCTACTAAGCTGTCAATTCACTTGAATAAAGAGAGATTCTTCTTTCAGGCGAGAAGAATTAAATTGCAGTAAAAATTTCTCGCTTTCATAAGTAATGAAAATTAGAAGTTCCTTGTAGCATTATCAAAAAAGAAAATTGTCGTAGGAGATAATCTGTAATTGGGATAATCTGCGTTTAGTACACTTTGATACAACTATAGTGGAATACTTTTTATCCTTTTATTTGTTTATTATTGTAGTACTAATTTCAAAAATTCTCCCCGTACAATTCCCTAATTTCAAAAATTCCCCCCGTTTTAATATAAACTGGTATTTGGGAATGGTTTCTAATCCAGTGCCATGTGGTCTCATTTTGTATATCCTTGTCAACCTTTCCAAAAGATTGACAAAATTATTTTCAAAAGAAATTTTCTTCTGAATTCCACTTAATTATTTATCATTGATATCTAATTTTCTCTGTTGTTGCAAGGAACAATGATTATTAAGAGTGATTGTGGATTTCTCTATACAGCCAATGTTTCTAGCAATTTTTTTAATGATTGCGTTACAAGATTTTGGAAACCTGCTGCTGATCTGTTACTTCACTTCAGGATGTGCTATGTATTTTCTATTTTCTAGAACATATGTTTCCGAATTTTCCAGAATGTGGAAATAGTACTTAACTTGACATATACTGTAATCAGTGGATAGAAACTAAATTGTCGATTAAATCGAATTTGTACTTCACTGTTCGAGGATTCGTCGGCTCTCATCGAAATTTTCATTCCTTTTTCAGTTTTTGTATGGTTAATATGTCATTTCATAGATTTATTCTTTTCCCATACCAACATCATCCTAACAATGAGTGGTTTTTGTAGAGAGATGAGAATGTCATATTAAATGATAGGCGAAATGACTTACATAAGAATTATGTTCCTATCATGAAACAAATAGGTGTGATTATTACATGTTGTGTCCGCTTACAAATGCAATAAAAAAAGGAGAAGTGAAGGCTAAGACACTGACAACCAGAGGTAGTCGCTACATCGCACCAGTCTATTCTGGTGTTGGTGGTAGAGACTGCGGTAGTAGTGAGAACCGCAGTCCGTGTCACCAGCGGCACTGTGTCATATCCCAATCACACGAGTGTGGTTGTCATCAATGCACTTTGGTGTAAGTGTGGTATGTTTTCCACGCGCTGCGCTGTGTAGCTGTATCGTTTGTAAATGGTCTTAAAACCTGTATAGGGCGTGATGCAAACATTGCTGTCTCACTGTTGAGAAATATCCTGATCGATTTTTTTCTCCACAATGTTTGTGGAGGGAAGTAGGGTAGGAGGTTTTTGCCGGTGGGAAATGTGCAGGGAAATGCTGCTATGATCAATCGAAAGATATCATCAGGGTCATCTGTGGTCAACTTTACTCAACTTTTAGTGCAGAGTCTGTTTGAGGAGTTCGTCCGAGATGCACTGGTGTCATTGGGAATGCCATGGTGCTGTGAAAACTTTGATATCTCTTGCTGTATTGCTGCCAGTGAAAAATCTACTTAATAAATGAAATATCTCCTGTATCATGTGCGAATACTCAATCATTTTAGTTCATTTATGCAGTTGTCTTATGCTATCTTTAGTGGGAATTGTGAAGTAGGAAAAAGACACAGTATATGAAAGAAGGCAAAAAATAGATTTGAAAATATAAAAGCTACCGAATAAATCTAGAATAATATGATTATTTGGAAGTCGTAGCATTAGTAACAGTATTTGCAAGGAAAATAGTGATGTTTGTTAATGAAAAATAGAAGAGAATTAGTAAATGGTTGAGATATGGTTGAGACACACTTATTTTTGGTGCTGGATAGATATTAGAAGCAATATTGCTCTTTCTTGGTTGGACTTTAATAGTTCTGGTTCGGTTCTCAGTTTATTTTCTAATTTTATGAGAGGGCGAATTACTACAAACAGTGAGTGTGTAAAGAGTGCAGAATGTAGAGTTCGATAGAGAATAATTTGAATATCATTCATTATTAAATTCTTTTGTTTTGTTTAGTATTTGTTCTTAACGAGATTTAAGGAAGGATGCATTTTCAAAGTAGTAAATCTGTATATTTTGAGAACAGTATGACCGACTCCGTTAGTGCAACAAATAGGTACGAACAGAGCCAACAGGAAATGGAAAGTGGCGAAGTAGAAATTGTGGATTCTGGTCGGGTAAGCAAGATTTGCATTGGGTGATAATCTTCAATTGATATTCGTATTAGTCAAAATATTCCGTGTTGAGATTACATCCTATTAAGCGTGAAGAAAGTCAGATTTAGAATCTTTTTCCTGAGATTTTGCTATTCATAATTTATTAAAAAAGTGTGTCTAGAAGATATTTTTTCTTTCTAGAAAAGAAGTATATTTTATCATGAGTACGGTTTTTTTGAGCATGCAGAAAATGTGATTAATTGGACTACTGATTTCTCGTTATTGGTTTGATAGTTTCATAAATCCTGTAATGTTTTCAGGTCATTGATGAATTGGATGAAGCACTGATGCAAATTGGTGACGCCACTGGCAGTGAACAACAATATGATGAAAGAATGCATCAGCAAAGAAAACAAGGTGATACAGTACAGCAAGATGTCGATTTACATATGGTAAATATGTGTTCCTCCTGGAGATTTTTCATTGTGAATATATTCGGAGAGATTAATATCAACATAGATCTGTGACTCACTCGATTTTACTGCTCATATGTGAATTCGCTTACAGAATGTTAGCGAAGAGGTGATTGTCGAAACGGAAGAAAGCCATCCGGCAATGTCTCCAACTCCGGGGAGTGATGTAGGCGATATGGAAGAATGCATAAATGATGAGGATGGCCTATACAGTGACGATGAAGACCACTCAGACATGTTTGCTGACCGAGAAGTGGATCAAGTTATCAGAGATCCGGTGACTGGAGAGGTTTTCTTTTTTTTCAAGCTTTTATACTATATATTTTGCTCTTGATAGGAATTCATGAAATGTGATATGGAAAATTTTGGTGGGATCATTTCTCCAAAATATCAATTTTAAATAGCTTTGGTAATATTCAATTCTTAGATAAGCTTAACAATGGATTTGGAAGATCTCGTGTCTCGGACGATAACTTTTGATAATGGTGAAAGAATTATCTTATGTTTTTCAAAGCGATGTCGTCCGCAAATAGCCTGGAATGGGCATCTTTACGTTGCAGCATCTGATGTTAGTTTCTAATATTTGTGCATATTGACTGTAAGGTGAGATGCATAAGGTGCATAGTTTGGAAATGGAAAAAAAAACTTATTGTCATTGCTTGAAAACTGTTTTACGGTGTGTTGAAATGTGAAATTTGATATGCTGAATTATAAGGTCTATAAACTATTTCTAGTTTTCTTCCTCCCCTTTCCCCCCCCTCCCAAGTTTTGGTCAAATTATACCCCATTTAAATCTGGAGCGGAAATAGTTCGTCCTAACTCTTGTATAGATAGCATGAAAGTGAATATAAATATTGTTTCAGTTAAGCGAAGTCAGTTATACGAAATGGCGTTGTGTAAATGAAGGATGTCCTGGTGCTTTACGGACATCTCCTGGACTGACCGAATTACGTTCCTCTGGACATCATCATTTAACTACATGTAAACCAGATGACTTGCGAGTAAGCAGTTTTTGATAAAATGCAGACCATACAAGTCATTATAACTAGGTTTTCTCCTTGTATTTACATTGCGAAATGGGTCAAAATTTGTAATTTCTTTATTTAGGTACGTCTGCGCATTGTTATTTATGACCTACGTTTGATGGCTGAATTTACAGACGATCCACTAGAAGATCTTTATAGTCATTTTGGTACCATTTTTGAATATTTAGTGACCAAATTTTAATTCTCTTTTGTCAGTAGTTTATATTATTCCAAGTGTTCTATGCAAATAAAATTTTTTCAGTTGAAAAGCTAGCTGCTGAAAATCCAGATGTTTTGGCTTTATTTCCCCCTCTGGATACATTAGTAAAAAGACTTACAAAACATCGAGAATACAAGGTTAGGAATTCCTTCATTTTTCGACGAATCGCTGTTATAACGTAGTGCTTGTATAGTATGATCATGTATTTAAGATGTGTCCGAATGTTTAATAATTGTTAGCTGTGAGGCGTTATTTTACTAAATGCGAATTGTGGATGATTTCACTAGTCATAACGCTGCGGGAATATTTGATCTGTAGTTCTGTTTTCTGAGATTAGTGAGACAGACTTTCCATTTTTTTCTAGTTCAGATTTAAAATACACCATTTCTTTCGAATATTAGATGTAAAATTGTTACTATCAATTTAGTAGTGAAATGGCCATGTTGAGAAGTGCTTCGAAAATTAATTTCCATTTGGCAGATTTAAGAAGATGAGGAAGAATGGACACTACATTAGGAACTTTTATCCTGTGTCTTTTGTTTAAAATTGTTTTCAAGGTATATCGTCGTCGATTTGAATATGAAAAAATAATGGCGGAGCGGCGTCGGGGTTTACATTCTAAAGGTAAAGCGTCTTTTTTTTTTTTTAATTTTCTTGTGTTAAAAGTTATTTGGTTCTTATGATAGTGATGTATGATTATTAAACCTAAAATAACACTAAGTTATAAAAGTAGGGTCCTTCAAATAATAAAATATATTGATTTAATATGTTGAAGTTATTGGATTATATTATTTTATAATTGGGTTTTTTATCACTATAAATAGATTCAGACTGCACTCCTGGAATGCTTCGAAGAATGCGTCCATTCCCGCCGGTTCGTTTCCTTATTTTTGCATTTACATTTCAAAGTTCAGTTTTTATACTTTTATACAGATTTAATGGTGTGTAGTGTTAAAGTATGACTAGAAAATTCTCAATAATTTCCATTGCCCAAATGTTACAAGTGTTTATTTACTCATGAGTGCTAATTTCTGGGAATAACATACACTATGTTAACCTTTTACCTCACGTTTAGTCGGTATGTATTGAGTGCGGTATATCAATTGTAACGGATGCGGATACCACATCTCAAGAAAATTTTGTGGATCATGTGTCGCAGGATCATCAAAGAGAAGCAACATGTCAATATTATTCTTTCCCTGGAGTGCATCTTTTTGAGGTTTCCGATTATTCTGCTGTTGAACTAGATTAATAAAAGCAATTATTTGATATGAAAATAATCACAATAACGAGAAAACGTCTCAGTTTAGCTTTAGCAGGAGGGGAAAAGATGTTGGCGTAACCAGAGTGGATGTAGAGATGATGAAATCTTGAAGAAAGACCGAGTTTTACCATTTAGACATAGGTTTGGAACGGTGGCGTTTAAAATGTGAGATTAGTAGGCTGGCAGAAGTGGAATACTTTAAGATTATTAGATTTATAGTTAGTAGTAAATTATCAGATTGCAGCAGTGGATGCGTGAGCTGCAGCAACGTAGCCGATACAAAATTCGACGTTTTTCAATGCATAATGAAAGCTTATTTTTCCTTTGTGCTGCAGACGATCGATGGTGTCGAACTTATGGCGTTAATTCTGATGGTCTTCATTGTACTGCATTTGTTCGAGTCTACGATTACAGAGTAAGTGCATTCGATAAAGATCATAAGGATAATGTTCTGTTGAGAATATGACTTTATGTTGCATCAAGTAATAAAAGTAGGAAAAATTTTTATCGTTATTTTCTGGACAAAGATTGGAACTGAGATTACAAAAATATTGCTGTTTACAAAGCTACTCATAAATATAAAGCAATACAGATAATATTCGATAGTAATACAGTGTGGGTTGAAATAATAAAAGATATTTTAATACAAATCATTATCTTGGACTATCGAAATCTTTTGTTACAATTATAGTAAGAGACAGACCACTCAGCAAAATGAAACATTTGCGTCAAAAGTTTTTGGAGGTAATCTGTATGACATGGATTTGTTATTAATTCTTGAAGTTTGTTGCAGTTAGAACAGTGAATCATATGAGTGTCACTTATAACTTGTCATTATTGTCACTTCTGTTTCTTTTTAGTGTAGGAAATCAATTAATGATGAGTAATAGGAAAAGAAATAAAAGATGACTTTTTTCAGAGGGTTTCGCGGCAAGAAACTCGGGTTTTGCGGATACAGTACTGCCTGGATCATAATTTCCATAGCGGTAAGCGACTAAGTTGTTGTGCATTTTTTTTAAGAAAGTAGTGAATAATAATTCCAGTTGGTATTGAACGCAAGCTAAACTGGTGTTTTATAGATGAGGACGCAACAGTTGATGCTCCATTTACTCCAGAAATTTTCATGCATGAAGTGGAGGAAAGGCGTTTACGAACTGCTGGCATGGTGAAAAGTCATGCACAACGCGCGCGCCTTTTGAGACGAAGAGGTGAAATGGGAAGTGAAATTATGTCAGGTTATCTCTAATCGTAAAATATTTCTTCCATTTTTACTGTTTCCAATAAGAATGTTGTCTTTCAGTTGGTACATGTGTTGAAAAAAACATTACTACAAATTCAATTTGATTGATTATTTGAACATGAATTACAGAAGCTGTGGTATTCTCTTGCAGAGTAGTTCTATGGTTCAAACCACCAAACCCTGAACTGATTATGAAATTGATAAATCTGCTCATTAATTCACTCAGAGGAATTATAATGAGTCAAATTTGGTTTCTCAACTATTATTTGACATTTTAAGTGATGAATGTCATTTTAATTTATTAAACCACTGTAATGAAGTCTTTTGCATTGACAGAGTTAAGTAGATTGCATAGAAATTATTTTCGGAAAGAAACCAGTTTACTTTCTAAAACTACTTTCTAGGATAATGAGTTCTCTATGTTCATAGTAGTAAAAATATAGTCGATATATTCTGACCAATCAAAAAACTGAAGTGCGAATTTCAGAAAATGGCGGTGGATGGTCTGAAGAAGGAGTCAGAGAAGATGACTCAAATTTGCAGTAAGTTTAGTTTTATTTGTTTATCTTTCATGTTTTTCATACACTTCTCATACATTAGTTTGTTGAAACCACGAAAAATCCGATTTATAGAGAATTAGATACCTATGCATCTGATGTCGCCAAGCGCACAACACATATGCGCAATGATGATTCTGCGTCAGTAGTCGAATTTGCTGAAGGACCTGATACCGAACACGACGGTTAGTTAGTATCGCTTTCTCACTGTCTGTCGTGAAAGACGAAATATTTAAATTATTATATCCAAAACTAACAAATTCCTCTTATCTAATTCCTTTTCCTCACACAACAAAAACCCTTTATTAGCAGTCTTTGTTTCACATCAGTTAAATATCCTCTGCCGGATATCTGGTCAGCTCAGTTCTGCATATAAACAATCGTCCTCCATACGGTGGTTCATTCTGCATTTTGGGGTGGTTTTGATATCATTTTAATGTTTTATAGATATATTTTTCGTTACGCGTTTGTTAATCGGTGTAGCATCCGTACGATATGTATAAAGCGCTGTTATTTGCTTCATGTTAAATAAAGGTTTAATTACCCAAGTTTGAGGTTTCACGACACTGTCTTTTTAACGGAATGGCTGTTTATGTGTGCACTACATGCATTTTTCGATAATAGAGAAGAAAGTTAAGACATTTAAGTTACGATTCATGTGCTCATGGCAGTATTTCAGAAGGGGGATGTAAGTGCTCGGTTTTCAATCACGAATAATTTAGTTTAAGTCATAAAACATCATTTCAAAATTAATTGCACTTATTTCTTAGGGCAGGAGGATACAGTTGGTGGTGAAGGCGAACGAAATGTTGGCTATGGTATCGAAGGCAGTGAGGAAGGTGTCGGACAAGAAGAACAATTGGGAGATAATGCTGCATCGAAACTGAAGCGAGTAAACTTGCAAAGACCAAGATTTATGGGAAGGTAAATATAAATAGTAAAAAACTTCGTGAGCCTAACTAGAAAAGAAGACGGAAATGACTCTGCATTAAATGTGTTCTGTGTGAATATTAATATTATGTATTCACTCGACATTAGAAAAAAATTGCTTTTTTCCGATATGCACAACAAAGTGTTGGTCAGCATTTCACATATGGCAGAACTGTCAAATCAGACTACGATGAAAAACGAGAAGTAAGTTATTAATATGAATGTTAATGAGCACTTTTATCGGTTTTCAAAAATATTACATTATTTCAATTTTAAACGTATGAATAGATTACACTGATGAAAAATACAATCTAAGATCTCATAGCTTTTTTTATTATTATAGTTGTTTTAGAATGGATTAAGAAAAGTAAAAGTATAGGTAGTACTGTAAATTACAAAGTATGGTTTGTTTTGACATGGTGTAGCGTATAATTCCTATTCAGTAACTTTTGTGATATTGCTAAATTATGCTATACTTGTTTGTGTTAATAGTAATTGAAGTCCATAATTTCCCTCATACTACATTGTAATAGCTTATTTTATAAAACCTCTGTTTGATAACGATTAATGATTTTAAGAAATTTTGGATTTGAGTTCTTTAGGTGGCAAATTTGGTTGAACAGTGCAATCGTCGAGTTAGTGAAAGCCGTTCAATACGTTCCATTGAAAGTAGAGAAATTCAAAGTAGTAGTGGCCAACCGCATTATGTTACTCATCGATCAAATTTTTCCAGCTATACACTTTATAATTTGGTTATGCAAATTGAATTGCAGTGTGAGGTTTGTGTTGTACTGATGATTTTCTAGGTTAAATTCGGTTTTTCCAAAAACTCCCGAAGTTATAATTTGATAACCATTATGTGAGGCATGAATCGCTTCTGATATAGTAAACATTATTTGAAGTGTTTGAAGTGCTGTAGTATCAATATCAACAAATAAAGTTACTCTGAATGATCAGACAGTTTTAATAAAAACTTGTGGGACTAGTTAATGAGGCTTGTGTGTTTTTTCAGCTTTTCAAAGAACGTGCCCAATCTTTGAAACATATTGTGGCAGCGAAAAAATATCTAAAATACCTCACATCTCTCTGTGATAACATTGCTACTGATCCAGAGTGTAATAAACCTGTAGAGGAGTTGGCGGCTGACATTTTTGATTTGAAAGAAATTGTAAACAGTGGAATAGTAGTTACCAAGCAGACGAGCTTGCTTCCAACATTAAGCTTTGGAAGTGGCGATGAAGGTAGTAATTCATTACAACAGCGTGATGGAAAAAGTGAATCGGAAACGCAACCGCTTATCTTTCTTCCAGTGGTACCCGCGAGAAGCACATCCGAAGAATTAGGTTGGATTTCCCCTATTTTCAGAATGATTATTTGCAGTTTGTTGCTGGATATTTATTGAGTAATTATATTAATATTATATTTATTTTGTTTTTATTATCATTAATTTATTTATTGTAATATACTTTATTTTTCTGCAAATTATTATTTAATAGGATGAAAAATATTTTTTAGTTGTAATTAATTTACAAAAAATGTCGACCACTATTTGATGAAAAATATATTTTATTTTTTGTATTTCGTTATGTATATTTTTTTTAAGATGCATTCTTTTACATCTACTAATAAAGTTGTTCAACATTATGCGGAATATAAAAAAAGAGATCTTTAGGGATTATTTTATTCTTTATTATACACATGAATTTTTGTTAATTTTCAGAAAAAATGACAGTTGATGAAGAAGCAGGATTGGATGTTACAGAACAGTCTGAAATAGCGGTAATTTTCCTACTTCGTTGAACTTCAGGTTAAAATTTTCTAAGCAACAATTTGAATGGATTTCCAACTTTTTAAAATTTTTTTGCCAGGATTCACAACCAAATTTGAGAAGATCAAAACGTGGAAAAGGAAAGGACGAAACCGATACATCTTTTGAAATAAAGAAAGGAAGAAAAGCTCCCTTAATTACGATTTCAAAAGCAGATACATCCATAAGGTAACAGGTTGCAAAAAGATTTGGACACTTATTTTCTTAGTTCTGCAGACCAAAGATTTTAGAACATGTTTGCTTCAGTTTTTGTTGTTATAACTCAGTGCATAGTTGCTGTTCTGGATCAGAAGATAAAACTTAAGCATTCTAAGAAGAAAGTTTTACTATAAGAGCGAAATCCTACTGATGCGGTGGACAGTAAGCGGTGGACCTGATTTACTTAAATAACTCACTGCCGGATATAACTATTTGGATGTTTAGAAATTATGGAAATATGAAATTGCTTTTTTTGTTTGATGCATCTATCTACTGTATTCGCTTAGCGAACTTTTCATTGTGTTGTTTTTCAGTCTGGTTAAGTTAAAGGTGGAAATGAAGTGTGTAGGGTTCGCAGTTCTAAGTGTTTTAGAAGCAATATAACTGTTCATTATAGTAAAAAGTGTAGTAAGTACTCATGCAAAAAGGTTTGAGGAAAACTGGTGCTGAAAATTGTCTAGTGAAACTTTTTTTTTTTTAGAGAACCATATCAAACAAGAAGAAGTCGTGGTGTCGTGAAGCCGAACACCAAGGGAGTTTTTGACAAATCGACATATGTTGGAGGAATGGAGGTATTTTAAGTTGATTTTTAAAGAAACTTTGTTGTTTCATGTTGTCCTCAAAAAAGCAAGGAAAAATCTATTTTACATAAATTCGTACCTCAGAGCTTTAAAAATGCTGTAAGAATGCTGTCGAATCAGCACAAGCAAAGCTAGCACAAAGACTGGACTATCATTATTTGAATTTGCTAGGCACTGTAGAAAAAAGTGGCTTATGATGTTTAACAAGTTTTTAGCTGAGGAGGAACAGGAATCTGAACATAACTTTTAATTGCGAAAAGTTAAAGATGGAATGTTCACCTATTACTACCCAATTTCAATGTTTATTTTTTGAAAATCTTAAATTTTCAGGCAACTTCTGCAGAAGGAGATGGTAAGCGTTCAGTTATTTGGGTGAATTCGTTTTCTGTTTATTATCCCTACACTATAGTCATTATGTTCGTAAAGTCATTGTCATACTTCTCTATTTTATGATCACTGTTCTCTTGTAGAAGCAATGAAATCTGTAGAATCCCGCGAAGCTTATACATTACGTAAGTTTTAATTACACTATCTGGTAAGGTATAGTTTATATAATGATTTGATACTGTTGATACTGTTTGATACTGTTGTAGACGCCTATGACGATATTGAGAGAGAATTCAGTTTGATGTCAGCATTTTTATCTTTGAATGATATTAAGCATAGAGTAGGATAAAATATTATATCTCCTAGTAAATACTTTTTATTCTTTCTTTTTCTTTTGTTAGATATGTTCTTTTTCTTTAAAACAGTGGATAATCTGCATCTTGACAGAGAAGCAAAATTGAATCAAATATTAGTATGTAATCACGAAAAACAATCGGAAGATAGTGTGTTTTCTATTTTTTATATCTTTGAGGGCGAATACCGTTTAGTGGGCAAAATTCAAAATTGAAACTCGCTGGACGTACTATGCAACTTGATGCGGAATCGGAAGAACTAACTGGAAAACCGATGACTTTGAGAACTGCAACTGGAAATTTGGTTAGCTTGATTTATTAACCAGATGAACAAAATGTTGGAGATAACGCCTAGAAGGGACTAATAGTTTTCTAATCATTATAATTTTATTTCTTTTAAGCAAGGGCGAATAAAAGCCAGAAATTTTCAATCGTTTTTATTTGTAAGTATGTTGAATGTCATTCATCAAACGGTGAAATTTGCTTTTCATGAAATTTATTTTACCATCTTCATTTCATATTGGCATCTATTCCTATCCACTAATTTTGTTCGTTTCTACCGTTGATATTGCATTTCTATACTAATATTGCTTTACTGTAATTTAAGAATAACTTTTAACGTTTTTTCTCCTAAAGCAATATCTATATGAATATATAGAATTACAAAAATATCGAAACTTTCTCTTCAGTTTACTAAATACAAGTAAACGTTGGTGAGCAAGCAACCATTAATGCGTTATTTAGGTCACAGTAATGCGGCGGTTTGATGGCCGTTTGATTATGGTTTCACCCAGAGTATTGGTTCAGAAAGGTAATGTCTCATTTTTGCGCGAATCCGGCTTCTTGCCTAACTAGAAAATATTTTTGGATCAAGTATGCGAAGTGCTAAAGCACATCTTTGTGAATAAGTTTTCTGTGACAACAACAAGTGCTTGGGAAAGTTTGTTTAATTGAAAGATTAAATATATTAAATACTGTAGGGGCTCTCTCTCTCAAAGGATAGATTTATTTTACTACCAAGCTTATACCATGAAACTTATTTGCTTATATTTAATCTCACATTTTCCATGAAATGATCGCTTTATAATGGATAGAGTTGGATGGTCATTTTATGTATCAATTTCTAAAAGTTTTCTTGCTCATCTTTTGCGTAAAATGTTGCTTTCTAGAATCGAAAACACCCACAATTGAAGAAACTCAAAGAGAAACGAGGTCGAAAAGTACACGAAATACAGCACTTGGCAAAAAGGTACCAAAGGCAGAACAAATAAAAGAAGAAGAAGAAGAAGAGGGAAAGGAGACGAAGTCACAAAGGACAACAAGATCCTCAGAAAAGCGTTCAGTCTACTCAAAATATTTAAAGAAAGATAAAGATCGACGTGGTAATCTTCAATTTGATCTTCTTTTGTAGGTCTTAATCGTTGTAGAAATTATTATAAAGAACTATTGGAAACTGGAATGGTGTGTAGTATCTGAAAATAATTTATTTTATTTGGTGTTTCAGATTTGCAACGTACACAGTGACTATTTCAGATGAAAAGAGCGCTAATTCAAACTTATCAGAAAGAGGAAAAGGAAAGGATGTGGGTAATGAAAAAACAAGTTTGGAAGAAGCGGAATCTGTCAAACAGGAAACCACGCAAGAAGTAGAGACTAGCTCGAGAAAGTATGTATTTAAATAAACAGTCTCGAACTTATTCTTTAATGTTGATAGTTTTCCTATTTGATTGCATAAGTCTTCCAAAATAAATTTTTTAGCAGTCATTTACACTGTTATTAATCCAATGGTAATTTTGAAAATCTGTTATAACGTTCAGCACGAAACAAATATTGTCATATTGTAAAGTTTGGTGGAAATTCATAATCGACAATTTCTTCCTTTTGAGATGTTATTTTTTTTTACCGATTTCAGATTTGTAAGAAAGCAGTTAAGTGAAAATGATGTAATCGTTATGGACGATGAGACATTCTCAGCTGTTGTAAAAGATATAAGCATGGAAAGTCCTGATTGTGGTGAGTATCTTCTCTACAAAACACTTGCTTATTTTCACTTTCATTTCATCTTTTTGCTTAAATGGTATTACTTCATAATTTGTTATATCTTAATATTATATGAATGTTGTATGCAGAATATCGATGTCCCTATTCATATTTATAAACGTTTCAATTATTGGATGGACTGAATCATTAAGATTTACCGCAAAAATCTGTAACATAATCGATATATGAATTTAAAACATGTAGTAATGACAACAGATTTTAAATGTGCACTCAAAAAACGTGAGGTGACATTTAATAGAAAAGGCTTGAGATTATGCACTAATTCTTTGTATTTGGTATCATACACTCCGATTTGACAAATATCTGTAGAGGAATTAAAAGGGATTAGTGTTTTGGGTTTTTTGTTTAAAATTAGAGGATGATTATTTCTGAATAAGTTAATCCTGGAATTATAATCAGCAGCTGATAAATGGAAAATAGATTAGTGCTCTCTCTTCTGTCTGAATACTCTTTTGAGTCCTATTACTTTGTTACTTAAATGTATGACTGAGGACAATTACTTACAGTTAGTGGAAGTGAAAGCCGGCGAAGTCGATCAAAGAAAAAGGATGATGAAGAACCAACAGGACTGGTTACTGATGCTTTTAGAGCTAATAAAACAGGGGAGAGTAAAAAATAAATCAGTGTCATTGTATGTTTGAAATTGTATTTCAACATTGGATGACAATCCTGTGTTTTTTAATATCTTACTGGCTCTGTTTCCATCGTAATATTTTTTTGTTGTCTCATGTTGTATTTATGGTTTTTCTTTCTTCAACTTTTGTATTGATACACAAACTAAATATACAAAGCAAAGTGCGAGGAACTGTGGTAGATGAGTTAATTTCCCAACTTTTTGGTAACTTCGTTTGTTAAAGTTTGTTCTAAATTCTAATTAGTACACTAAAAAATACCATTTTCTTCCCTCTCCATTTGCTTTTAGTAGAGAAGTTTTTAAACTATTTCGCTTGCATATTACTTTGCTTCAGTTTTCCAACTTATGATTGATTTTAGGGACATCTGACATCAGTTTGCAGGCTGTTTTGTTTCCAACATTAAATAATGCACCAGTATTCGCAACTGGACGAGACCATATTATTCTGAAGATTAGTGTGTGTTTGGATTTTCAAGTTTACTTTTGTAGAACTTCGAAGATTTGCAAGGATTCCATTGTTTACAACTTCAAAAAATAAATTGTTTTGACGAATAAGTCACCTTTGCAAATGACTTATTCATCTACTACTTGCATTCATTGCATACTCTTATTGTGATCAATGTTTTTATTGTTCTGAGCTTCTCTACTTTTTTGTGACGAGAAATGGCATTTCTCATTATTGTATTAGTTAAAATATGGGATAGAAGAAAAGAAGTACATTTTGCCCTTTTTGCATTTTATATGTTTGAGATGACCACCATGTTCGTCAGGCTAATAAGGATTTTCATACATAAGGTTCAGTGTGTAGCCATGCATCATTGTCTTTTTTGTTTCCTAGGTTTCTTCTATAATTTCATCGCTATCGTTGTGTACGCAAATTGTAAGTTCAAGAATAAACAATAAAAGGATGCAATGAAAATTTTGTTTCATAATAGCCATGGGGTCTGGCAGTGGAATTCTTACATATAAAGTTGGCATTTCCTAATAAAGTATGGTGCCAGTTATAGAACTATTTTATTTAATAAACGATTAGATATTCTAATGTTAGTTGTTTAAATTCCATTTGTTTTTTTGAAATCATCATTATACAATATTGTTAATAAAACAATATCATGAGCACCATTCTTTGAAAGTATTAAGAATGAGAAGAGTAACACAGGATGGATCATGAATATTACCTATTGTATCTGAAGAGGATAATGAAACATTTTTTCCTTTCTAGCAGTGCACAATCTGTTCCACGTCACTTTCTGAACTTGTTTCACAGACCGCGGATGGTATCGATAACGGAGTCTGTAATTAGGCTTTTTTGAAATATCTAGTGAAGATCTATATTTAGTCATGAAGAAAATGTAAAGACAGCGAAACGGAAGGGACTCTTTCCGAATCGTCTGGTTGCTCGTTCAAATCATTCTTGGCTGGATTGAGATTAAAATATCGATCATTAGGGCAAACAAACAAATAAATGAGTAAATGATTAGTATGCGTGTTAGCAAGATGTTAGATTCGCTAAAATTTTCCCGGAAAATCTAGTAGCTCCTTTCAATTCTATTTACGCTGATAAATTATTTCACGTTAAAAGATAATGAAAATTGGAAATGTTATTTCAACTTCATCCTGAATATTAGGTTATTTCGTTAAAGGGAGAGGAAGTTAACCTGTGTTAGAACTCCTTTTGTCAAAAAATATTTAAGCTTACACTTGCTGTCCTACGATGTGTTCGAATTGTATTTTTGACAGCACGAACCTGTCGTTCTTTGTCAGAAAGACCATCGGAATGTATGGCAGCCATTTCTAAACTTCGTTCTAATGATGATTCCATTGTTGAAGAGGAAGTAATAAGCAGACAGCTTGATCTGAAATAAACAAAATGGCAACTCGTGACTGCAAGCATATTTATTTGTAATACAAGTTCGGACACAAATTAGAATTACCAATCAGGTTGTTCAGCTGCTCAGTTTGATGAATTTCCTTGTGCGTATGTTGATAAACTCATCAAGTAAAACCATCCCAATTGCATAAAGCACAGACATTAGTCAAAAGTAGTCTGCCAAGACATTTCACTTAATTAATTTGAGACTGGAAATTTGTTGAAAATTTTTTGGAAAATAGCTAACCTTTCACTATCATTTGTGCTTTGTGGATTTCTAAATTTCCGAAAAATGATATAAGAGGCGCTTGGAGAATCGAGCGACGAGTTTAAAATATTCCTAAAAAATGGTAAGTATTCATCTCTAGCTCATCCATGAATTATATTCCAACGATAAATTTCCAATCTGTGTTAGTTACCCGTTATTTTCATCCTGCTCTTCAGAACTTTCTTTTGCAGAAGCATCGGAAACTTCTTTTTTCAGCTTATCGTCTTGTTCACATGCTTCTTCATTGTCACGTGCAATCTGCTTACCTGATGCCACCAACCTATCTTCTTTCTCTTTCAATTTCTCCTGATAGCAAGTAGCTGATGGCGGAATCTGAAAATGAGAACAGATTTCCATTTCTTCACTTTCATCACACACACAACAAAAGATAGCTAAACGTACGGTCACGTTACATTCTTCATCCAAAAATACTTCCGCTTCCCGTGATTTTTTTATGGTCGAGTGGCTGGAAAAAAAATAAATATGAATTGCAAAAATTCCGAACTATATCTGTACGACTTCCTACTTCCAGAATTGCGAATAAAATGTGCTCTTTCTTCGGCAAATTTTCTACATTTACTATTAAAAATATTAAAATTGGACAAAAATTTATTTTAAAAATCTTTGTTTGAAATGTTTCCTGAGAAAATATGATTTATATTTTCAATAAGATATAATCTCAAACCTGACAGTTATATTTTGTAAATGAACGGATGGGGAGTCAATTTTTTCAGATGGTGAAGTGTTTCTTGTTGCACCATCATTGATTAGCGTAGATTCTGCTACTGATTGACGTAATCGCGTATATGACGAACGTTTCTCTTTTGATACTGGAAAGGATGAAGGTCAGTTATTTAAGGAGTTCAAATTTGAAATTAACCTGAGCTTTTTATGCTCAAATTGCTTCCAACTACTAAAGGAAATGTCAGGAAAAGAAAACCTTTGCAATAAAGAAAAAAGATAGTAACTCCTCCTGGATTTCTTAATGCTCTACTTACCAGGAGTCATCCGTTGCAATAAATCTCGGTGGGAATCTGTTGTATTCTTTCTATTCTTCCTTCTTTGTGATGTCAAACGTCCATCCGACCAACGTCCCTCCGTATTTCGATAAAATTTCGTTGGAATAATCTGAAAGAAAATGCTTAGAGCAAAGTCCTTGCTGAAATCAACTTTAACTCTACTGATGAAAACTCAAAAAAAAAAACGTTAAAAAACAGCTACATTTAACTATTAAGAAAGTTAGCAAAAGTGCTGTTTGAATTGTATTTTAAGGACCTTAAATTTTCACTGACCAATTATTTTCAATAAAAAGAAAAATCACTCACCGGTTGTCCACAGAAACTACATTCATATACTATTGCATTTGTTGAAGTTCCAGATGTAAAGTCAATATCATATAAATTATGAAAACCAGAGTCACAGGAAACTTCCGAAATACCGGAATTTCGAGCAGGAGATCCACGAACAAGATCAGCTTGATTGTTGCAAAAGTAACTGGACCGTCTGATCGATGAGTCTTGAGAGAAATTATGTTCTGCAATGGTAACTTGCAGAATCGTACTCCTTTTGCTCACTTAAAAGAATTGAAGTATTTCAATACTTATTCTGCACAAACATTAGTAAAACTTCATAGGCCAATTCACGTTCCAACTGTATCAATATTTGGTACCTCCCATGATGATTGGTTGTAATCGAGACTCTCTTTTATTATTATTAGCAAAGAATAACCCAATTTGAAATTAAGATAAACGTGTGTTCCAAATTTTTGGTCATACCTGAACTTGAAGTTAGCATTCGTCTAGGTGAAGTTTTACTCAACTTTCGATTGTATCCTAATGAACTGCGACCGGAACTTTGTCGACTGAAGATCAGTGATTGAGATGATGGAAAAGCTCCACTCGTCCTGAATTTTTAACTTAATTAATCCCCTACTGTAGGGTGTAAGGTATTAACCACTCAGTTATTTGTGTCAATTTTACTATTTGCCAGTCACAATATTAGTATTTTAAATATGGTGATAGTAGGCATTTGAAGGAAAATCAAATAAGTTATACTGATGATAAATGACCATGACTTACGTTATGCTACTAGCAGAACACCTTGTTGATGAATTCCGGTATACGTATTCAGAGTGGTAATTGTCTTCCGATGAAGACAAAGACATTTCTTCTTGTTCCTCATATGATAAGCAACGGTTTGAATTACAAGCATTAATGCTGGAATTTTAAGAAAGCTTTCGACAAAAGTTAAGTTAGTTAGTACGAGCCTTTTTTTGCTTGGCTCGTACTTAAACCTAGTAAAAGCTAAGCAAAATTTTTGGGTAAAATCACTGTGCCTATATGTATATATATGCCTTATAAATTAGTACAAGCCAAGCCAAAAAGATTTTATAACAGAAATTTCAGATCGTCTTGCAGGGATAAAACAAACAAGCCGGTAGCAATGCTAGGATTAATTGAAATTACATGATACATTTAAAAGATACAATGTTAGTACCTTTGTTTCATCACACCTGCAGTGTCATTCGGCTCAGGTCGAATACATATGACTGCATTTTTAAGACTTTTCGGCATACCTTTTGGTGGCAAAACATTTGTTTTAAGGTCTATATTATAAGCATATTTTTCACGTTCACTAAACTTTTTTTCGCGCTCTAACAATTCCTGAAATGAGTAACAATAATAATGAGAGCCTGATTAATAAGATTTTTCTGATTAACAAGATTTTTTTAAAAAAGTATGAAAAGGAGAATCATACCCGTTCACGCATTGCCAAATCATCCAAACACTGCTCCAACTTCGAATAAATTTTAGTTGCTCGTCTCAACTTGTCTTCGTACATTTCTCGAATATCTTGTGCATGTTTTAACTCTTCACGTCTCATTCGAAGTAATTCACGCTCTGAAAATTTTGGACTTAAAACTTTCAAATATATAGAAATCCTCTTAATATAGCTATATTCGAATGAGACGTGTGTCTTGGATCTATCGACATTAGCTGAGGTAATGAAGTTATAAAAATCGAATTCGATAGAACCTGAAAAATTTAAAAGTTGAAAAAGAAGCGATTTGAAAATTACTTATTTCTTATATAACCCGGAAAAATTGTGCAGTACTCGTAAAAGTTTTGGTTTCAGATTTAGTTACCAAAGAGCAGAAACCAGAAAATGATATCTGTACTTGCGTTAAATTTGCTCCGTGAAGCAAAAAAAAGGACATTTTACCATTATTAAGCGCATCTTTCTTCTGTGCCAACGTTTTCTCTTGCCGGATCCCTTTCATGTACTGAATGACGTATGCTTTCCAGCCTGCTTTTTTTTCTAACCATTCGTTATCACAAATGTTTGCAATTTCAGACTGAAATGAAAGTTTCATTGGAAAGACTTTGAAGGGAAGCTCAAAATTCTGAAAATAAGTTATTAAATTCAAATATATTGATTTTAGCCGCCTTTGATGCTTTTAAGTTTTATGATTTTTTCATAACTTTTGTTCAGTTATGCTCAGAAACATATTTCTTCCCTCCTCTTTATTCTTGAACTTTGACCCCGTCGCTTTACATCTTCCAAAGTACAGTTCAAAAGTTACTTTAAAAACTGCGATATGCTTTAAAATTTGCGAGAAAGAAGGACGATTCTGTGGTTTGATGCTCCAACATTGCTTCAGTAATAATTTCAATCCTTCAGGCGCAGTATCTGGTATTGGTAAGCTCAAATTGCTGAAATAAAGTTCCGATTTAAAAAAATACTCGAAATGTCAAACGTAGATAACGAGTCATTTAGAAACTATTCCGAAACTTACTTTGAGCCAACACCCCAAATAATCGCCATAGAATCAACATCTTTGTATGGAATTTCCTGTGTCAGTAGTTCCCATAATACAACTCCAAAGCTCCAAATATCGACCTGTTTTGCATACTTGGAATTAAAGCGAAAATGGAATGATAAATGTAAACAGTCGACATGGACTATAGGCAAATGGTGTCAAATCATCGTTGTTAAAATTAGTGAAATTTAAAATAAATTTAAATTTAAGAATGAAATTCAATTTTTCAAAAATCCAATACTTTTTCAGAGCACGGTTCTTTCTTGATGATCTCAGGTGCCATCCAAGCAGCAGTACCACAAAATGACATCACCATACTTTTTTCCTTATCCCACTGATGCGATGTACCAAAATCGCAAATTTTTAATATGTCACTGTCATCAACCAAAATGCTGCAAGGTGATGCAAAGTTAGCACCGATAGTTGAAGGAAAAAAGGAAATTTTCTAATGTGTCAACTGTTGTTTACTGTTTAACGGCAATAAACTAATCCGTTACAACTACTCAAAACCATAGTAATCTGACCAGAAATTTAATTCGTTTTACACACACTCACAACTTACTTGGGTGATTTGAGATCACGATGTATGATGCGTTTCTGATGCAAATAATTCATTCCATCAGCAATTTGACGAGCCCATTCGCCAAACGTATCTTTCGCAATATGTTGACCACTTCTAATTACTTCATAAAGTTGTCCTTGACCGCAGTATTCCATTACAATGCAAAAACAGGGTGATTGAGTACAAACGCCTCTAAGAATAGAATGATGACAATTTCCTTCTCTCCTTTAGCAGTATCAAGTATTCATTTTACTATTACTATGATTGAAGTAATGTGACGTTTTATCAAATTTTTAGATGCATACACATGAACTTAATTTAACTTTCAAAAACTTTTTGATTATAAGCGGTCTATTGGATTTATCTAAATTCCAAGCAAAAAGAAATATTAGGATTTTCAGAATTTAATAGGAAGTTAAATCATTACAAAAACTTTTTGATTATAAGCGGTCTATTGGATTTATCTAAATTCCAAGCAAAAAGAAATATTAGGATTTTCAGAATTTAATAAGTCATTGTGACTAATTTGCGAGCGCAAGAAAATTAGATAGAAATGAATGGAAATTACATGAATTTGATGAGATTTTCATGATTAAGATGTTGCAAATGTTTGATTTCCGTTTCCGATCTGTCTTTCACTTTTTTTACTGCCACTAAACGATCATTCAACTGACCACTGAATACAGCTCCCTGAGATCCTGAGCCAAGCCACTCCAAATGAGTAATTGTTTCAAATGGTATTTCCCAATTGTCATTCGAATAAGCTATAGTTGACTTAGTCATTCCATTTGACCTAACGTAAGTAACAAATAATTCATGTCAACATTATGACGTTTTTACAAAACGGATTAAAATTAGATTACAGTATCAACTAATACACTGAAATGGCAAAATTTTCAGAGAAATGGAAAAAAGTCAGTAAAAGATTGCGGAATGCTTGCAATGACTCGGCGGATAGCCCGAAATAGGTCCACATCGGCTTGAAACATGAAAACAATCCTCGGTACAAGCTATCGATGCTAGATATATTGCTGGATGCCAGGTTCTGAGAACTGTTGTTTTCTCCAGCTGGCGCCTTATCAGGCGTTGATTTCGCTGTGCCTTTAAGTGATGTTTCTGAAATGCCCGAAGATAATAATGGACGACAAGTGGCTGACCGCTGTACAAATAATCCTTTAAATGACAATAGGAAATTTTTTAAGGAATTAATGAGTACATTATTACATGTTCATCACTTATAAGCCTTTTAGATTATGATGATTGCAAATGCCTTCTGGCCATGAAAGGCAGAATGTCCGGTGCATACTTTACTGTTTTTGGTTAATTATTTAGTAAAGCAAATAATATTGCACGAAAAAATGATATAAATTAGAAAGTTCAAGCGTCAGATACGCTTTTTTGGAATAACGCTCTTAACTTACCGCCGCCGATGACATTATTAGAAATAATACGTGCTGGAAGTGGTGTTGATAGTACACTCTGGCTAACTTCCACTTTATAGTTTCCAAATTTTTCATCAGACATCATTCGAGCTAACTCTGACTTTGCAATCATTGTTTCATAACCTGTAAAAGTGTCTTTAGTTAAAGAGAAAACAAAAAATTTATTTAGATTTAATTTGTTTTCATCCTAAAATCTTGAGCAACTGAAGACATAATTTGTTTTATATGTTAGAATGTAAAACAGAAGTAGTTTTTCAAAGTAATCAAAATAAAGTTCAAATTTTCGATAATGAGAAAAGTTCATTGACCCCAGAATTCAAATCAAAGCATTATAAATATTGAGTCACTTTAAAAATAAATGATAAAAACAGATGAAGCTTCCTCTATTCTCTATCAATTACATCCTCTTTTTATCACTATAATCATTATTATTGTAAAGCGTCGTTTTTATCAGATTTTCTAAACCAGTTTTTGACACCACGCTGTTTTATACCTATCATCATTATCAGTGTAGAATATGGATATAATTTAGAATTAATGTTTTTGGTTTTAATTAACCAAAAGTTATAGTTCAAATTATCTTAGCACTTTTCAGTGAATTACTAAATAAATTAGACGGTAGTAAGAGAAGGAGAAAATGACGAAGCATTGTTCTAAAAGGTAGGAAAGTGAGTGAGGTTAGCATCTGCCTTCTCTTCAGCTCACCTGTCCTATTCCTGACGTTATTACAACATGATATGAGGAGAGACTGTGGCAATTTCCCCTGACGACTTGTCACCTATTTTCGGTCGCTGCCCTCAACACTAATCTTTGCCCCGTAGATAAATTCACTAAAGCATCAATTTTTGTTGCTCTAAACAGGTTTCCTGATCCTTTTTTTTTTCTCCTTCTTGCTATGTTGACATCTATTCTCATAAGCCGAAGAATCGATACATCCATTTACACACGCACCCACACTCACACGCATATATATGTTTATAAAAACTGTATGATAAAATTTTATGCGGAAATAAAAAAGGTTACGAATTATTCAATTACTTTAAAAAAATTATGATTAAATTGAAATTTTTTTGCCATTACTAATAATTATTATTTTTTGAAGTTTTCAAGTAAACAATTCACTTTCCTGTTTCTTCAATGTTAACAATCCTAACTCCATGCAAATTTTTAGTTCAAGATTATTGTTACTAAAATTTAAATGAGAAATATTTTAATGAAATTTAAATGATTGAAAAAGAAGGAAAAACCAACCGTGAACAGTGGAATGTACAAGTAAAGTAGGAATGACGACATCTGAACTGCTGATCTCAATTTCTGGACAAAGATACTGAGACTTGGATATATCACGGAGTAAGATAGAATCAGTCTGATCTTCTAAGCGTAAAAGACTCACTGAACTTTTCGTACTTTTCTTTGTTGTACTGAAATTTAAAAATTTGGTTTATAGGGTATGTAATCATTAAAAAATGAATGATAATAGGTGTATGATTAGTTTAATTTTGAAGATTTGTTTATAATGATAATAGTTTGAAAGATTGCTTAATTTCTGAATGGTGTTGAGATCATTTTTTCTAAGAGAATATTAATATTTTGAAAGTGGAAAATTATGATGTGGAAGCAGTGGCAAAGAAGTGTAAAGTAATGGCTTGAAACGGTGAACAACTTGTTCCTCAAATTTGCTCCTCAAGGAAGTCGTGATTCCAATCTTGAACCAAGTGCAACAGCTTCGAACATTTGATTTCATTTAAAATACTTAATATTGTCCTACTGCTTTTTTAAAATCTCTTTCAAGAAAATGTTATATCTCAATCATTCTTGCCAGATATTATTAAAAACTTTGGAGGATCAAAGAATAAATTGAAAAAATTCAGTGCTTAATATAATTGGCATATATATATGTACTTGTATATATATATATATATATATATATGTGTGACGATCATATAGAAACTATTTATGATTTTTTTGTGCAGCTAAATAAACAAAGATTGTAGAAAATGGAACCGATCAATTAAAAGTGATTTGTTTGGGAGTTGAAATGATTGGGATAGTGATAAGTAGTTGTCGTAAATGGCCTTCAAATGACCTAACTGATTACAATCAGAAGTTTATAGAGAGATGTAGTATAAAAACTTTGCTAAGAACTTGTCTGGTGATGAATCAAGTACCATAGTTTCGAACAAAATCTTTAAGTTCTGGAAGGAGATCTAATTAGTAGAGATATTAGGAATATCTATTTAATTTCCGACATGCCTCATGTCAGATATGTTTCAAAATGAAATCTGAAGACTTGCTGAAGGAAAGAATTGTGGATGAGGAAAGAAGTACAACAATTATACCGTCGTGATTTCCGTTTGAAGCATATCATTGTAACTTTCAGTTTTTCCGGAATACCATCTGTAACAAGCAATTGTGCCCTTCGGAATGGTTTAGCCAATAGTACGGTGAAAATGATATGAACAAACCGCATTTCAGTTGTCCTTACGGATAGCAATAATCCATTAAATAATGCACACTCAATGAATTAACAGAGACGATGACCATAATAAACTGTAGTATTGATAAAAATGGAATAGACAAAAACTGAAAAGTGCCATAAACACTTCTAAAGGAACAATACAAAATCTTATTTGATACGAAAGAAAATGATTAGAGATGTTTGATAAAGGATCTATTAGTAACATTTGAAACTAACATGTAAATCTCTCTTTAACTTTAAAGCAGCTAATATTGATGTGTATTTCTTTATCATATCAAGCATTATTTGATAAACAGTGGTATTAATAAGCCCTTCTCTTCTCTTTTATGTCCAGTATGAAGCATTCTGCAACTTAAAACATTAAAAAATTTCAGCCCATCTTTTTCAGCAAAACATTCATAGAAATGAAATAGATTATAATTTAAAGAGCTATACATACCAAAGAACTTTTTCCTCTATTACTTGAACAAAATTTTCTTGTAACAAAAGTTATTGACTGTTCAAAATAATTCAAAATTTAAAATAATGAAAGGAGGAAATCTCGGCAAACGCATCAAATCTTTAAATGACAAAAGAACCCAAAGTTGACCAAAGCAAATATTATGAAAAATATACAACAATGAGGTGCTCGTTCAATAGCAACTGCATAAAATGTCAATTTCTATGGTCCTATATTCCACGGATAATATTAGGACTGTTGTGTGTATGTGTGTGTGTGCGTGTGTGTGTGTATGTGTGTGTGTGTGTGTGTGTGTGTGTGTGTGTGTGTGTGTGTGTGTGTGTGTGTGTGTGTGTGTGTGTGCGTGTGTGTGTGTGTGTGTGTGTATGTGTATGTGTTAGCACCTTTGCAGATTCATTACTTACCATCTCTATACCCTTTCATTGCTCATCGAAAAATGAATTTTTCATAATGTTGATGTGATGATATGACAAGCTATGATGTCAGCAGCAAAGAAAGGCTTATTTAAAGTTTTTCAAATTGTACCAAACGGTAACATTTATTTGAACACCACAGAATAGATACGAAAGTTCAAAAAGGTTACTGTTTATTATATCTGACTGCCAAATTAGAAATCTGGTATCATTTACCTACTGATCTACAAATTTTATTTGAAACTGGTCTTAAAATCTAATTCTATATTGATGTTTTGATTAGGTGAACTATCAAAAGATTTCTTTTTTAATATCATCTTAATATAAGATGTTAAAGATATGTCATCATTGTATAAAAAAAGTATCAATCTTTTGAAATGATAAAAAGTCTCCTTCATAATTCAACCTGCATTACGATGCTCAATTAACCTGTTTTCAAACTTTATCAATATGCTGCAAGTAGATTGAAAGTTGAGGGATGTGAATTAAGTAAATAAACTTTCCGGAAAAATTATTTGCAAAAAAAAAGAATGAAAGATCGATCGAAAAAATTAAGAACACATTAGTAGAAGATAGTCAGGATGCGCTTTCAAATTGCATTTTCTTCTAATGAAAGAAGGAACGACTCTTGCAATTAAAATTTATTTATAACTCAGAAATCGAAAAAAAAGTATTCACAGTAACCTCTATATTATTTCTATTTTGAAAAGAAAAATACTCTGTAAAACAACTAAATACTATGATATTTAAATATTTCGATCCGATTTTCAGAAAATTGCTTACCAAGTTAATTTCATTTTGATTGCAGATTTAAGGATTGTCTTTTAGTGGTAGATGATTATAAATGCAACATGGCCTATGTTAATGGATGATGAGTCAAGCCTATCGATTCCAGGAATGGATAGATGATGCCTTCATCCATTCACTCTTTGTATGATTCATTCGTTCGTCAGACAGAAAAACGATTGCTTTACTACTTGCCCGTGGGAAGAGAGGAAGATTTAGGCTCATTAGAATCATCGAAAAGCATCAGGCTATTTTGTCTATGTGACTTATTCTATCGATATCACAGTTAGCTCGTTTTAGTAATATTTCCCTATAGGATTGATTAGTCAATTGTTGTTTCATTTTGTTTAATTTGAAATTTGTTTTAAGCAATAACACAGCTTACTGGTGATACATTCACATAACTATTTATTAAATTTGCCATTTTAAAATTTGGCCATTTCATCAATCCCTTCTACTTCTTCTTCAACCATCCATTGCTTTATGTCATTAGTCTGAAAACTGAGTGCACACAGATTTAGATACGAATGCGTAGCAAATGTAATATCAATCAATTCATTGCGATAAATTTGCTCCTCATGAAAGTATTCAAACACTACTTGATATTTCGATATTTCACTTTCTACTTTAATACATATCACTCAAGTAATTGGCTTCAATTTCATTATGATTGCTGCTGATGATAGTGATTATGATAATAACGATAATATCCATTGATACAATGGTATTATATTCTTAAAATTTCGTTGAAATTTAATACTGAACTGTCATTGACAAGAAAATATTCGTTTGTAGAAGCGAGATGTAAATACTTAAATACAATCATTCATTGCAATTTTTACCTTCTATTAGTCTTTCTTCTTACATTGTATCCTAATATTGATATCAACAAATGTTTTCTACAATTAGAACTTAACAGTATCATTGCAAGTGATCTTAAATGAGTGTAATTAATGAATCACCAATATCTGAAG